CTCAAAAGGCAAGCTCACAGTTCAAGTCCAAGTGTCTTTTTGTGCAACCAAATGGAAAGCTGATCTTCTGAATCCTGCTTTTTTCTTCTTCTTTTGTCTAAGAGTTGAATACAGCTTTAGTCATTTTTTAAAAAGTTAAATCTTAAGGATAAGTTAAAAAGTGATAGAAAAATGAAATTTATGTTTTAAAACTTTGCCACAGAGTGCAGACAACAAAATTAAAACTTCCTCCTCCCTAACATGCAGTAAAGCCAAGAATATTTCCAGCAATGTGGTGTGTTTGAGCCTATATATCATCTGCCTGTGTGACTATCAAAGGAATGTAGTAGAGGATACAGAGTCCCAGCAGGCCGTTTCTGCCTTCTTGGCCCTTGATGTAACGCTTGAACAGGTGCAGCACAAAAGATCCTAAACTTGTAGTTATTGGACCATTTGGAAAAGCACTTTTTTCTGATGTAAAAGCAGAAAGAGTTTTAAAAAGACCAAAGTAAGTGTGTGTAGGTGTGCGCATTGTGCATATTAGAAGGGTGATCATCTGTGATGTGTGTTGCCTAACTCTTAATGAAAGTGCTGCTGGTACGTGGCAAAAGCTTATCACAATGGTAAGAACGCAACATGCTTATATTGCCATTGAAGAAAAATATAATTATAGAACTCTAGCTTCCACATTCAATCATTTTTTCCATCATAGGCCTCAGAATTGGTCACCTGATAGGGGTTTCACTGAGCTTTGATTTGCATGTGTGAATTGAGCTGATGTCCACAATTAAAATATTGTGTGCTGAATTTACTTACCTGAGGCACAGTAGTTGTTGATGTAATAGATTTATGCAAGGTACGCATCATCAAAGGTTTGATGGAATCATGGGCATCTGTAGGGAGAGGCAAGTGATGCCCTTAGCATCATGGTGTCATTACACAAGTGATATGAATAATTATATTATTGTGGCTTGTTTCAAACACCTCTTCCTCATTTCCAGTAAGGGTCTTCATCTGGTGGGTTTTGTTTTGTGTGTGTGTGCACGCACGTGCACACTTTCACGTCAGTGTTGACTCCCAGTGACTGCCTGAACTAGTCCCTGTAGTTTTCTTGGCAAGGTTTTTCAGAAGTCATTGCCTTCTTCCTAGGGCTGAGAGAGTGTGACTGGCCCAAGGTCACCCAGGTGGCTTTGCAGGACTAGAACTCACAGTCTCCCAGTTTCTAGCCTGATTTATTTTATTTTATTTATGCAATTTCTATAGCCGCCCATCTCAATCCAAGTGACTCTAGGAGAACCCAGGAGACAGTGAGCTCTAGTGGCACCTTGGGCACAAAACCAGCTGGGTGACCTTGGGCTAGTCACTTTCTCTCAGCCGTAGGAAGCAGGCAAGAGTGAATCGCTTCTGAAAAACCTTGCCAAGAAAGCGACAGGGACATGTCCAGGCAGTTGCCAGGAGTCAACACTGACCCAAAGGTACAAAAAAAGAAAAAAAAAAGTCAAAACAAGATTTTATATTAAAGATCAAAGGGCTCCACTTAGCAGAATGAGGAAAAAAGGCCACTAAATGTGCCAGAAGTGGACCAACACAATTTAAAATAATACTTATTGCTGTCTAAAAATATTAGTTCAGCCCCTTTATGACTAAACTCCAAATCTAAAATTATCTAATTATATCACTGTGTATGATCAATTCATCTGCCCGTTACAGTTAGATCTTTCCTTTTTTCCAAGAGAATGAAGTCCATCTTATCCTCATCAAAACCTTATGATGTAAGAAAGGCAAGGAAATGCCCTACAAGATTTGTGGCTGAATGGAGATTTGAACTGGATCTTCCTAGGCCTAGTACAGAACACTTATCCACTACACCCTACGCACTCCATTATCTCAAGCTCTTGTGATGATTCACTGAAGCAATCACTTACATTATCAGATACATGAAATAAATTGAAAATGTAGCAGGTGGGAAGATACAGAGGAGGAAGTAGCTGTAGATAACTTTAAAACCAAATGTGGATAACTTTAAAACCAAGTGGAAAGAAGATAGCAAAAGACTTCCTGATTAACGTGAGTGCTTCAGCTGTCACAGACATACTCTGCAGCCACATGAAATAAATTGATTAAGCTACATTACACTTCGAAGAAAAGTAAGAAAGCTTGTGTTTCTCCATCTGTTTCTCACTTAGTCCATTCTCCACTCCACTCTGTCCTCTTTGAAAATGATCACTTCCAATATAGCAATCTCAAAAAAGGGAGCTTGAAATAGATCCGGAAAGGCTTATTTAAGGTGTCATGTTTAACCTCCAATTATGGTGTATTCCTTCATGCAAGGGACCATTTCGGCACCCAGCATGAATAGTTGTAAGTCCATGGAACAAAAGAGTTTGTCACAGGCCACCACAACCAATAGGGCCTTTCCCCACTTGTTTCTAACCAGGGCACAAACATGACCTTACAGTACCTTTTTTTCGGCTGTATCTGCTGTGTCTTCACTTCATTTTCATGAGGTGTCCCTACGTGTACCATTGTTAAAAGTAGTATTTCCCCCATTAAACTGACAGTACCCAACAACAGCCAAAAGGTGTGAAAAATATGCTACGCTTTGTCAGGTATTATGTCAGAAGTGAAGTCAGGTGATTAGAGGGGAGCTTATTGGCCATTTCAGCTAATAGTCACATCCTCTCTTCTTTGGTCCCTGATCAGCTTCATCTGCCATCATTCTCTCATTGCCTTCCCAAAGAGTTGGACACAGCAGTGATGTGCTGGTCTCCTTTGGATCTGCACAAGAGCAACAGAGCTGTATGTTCTAGCACAGCACAGGGATCCCCTTTGCGCTCCTCTGACTGCCTTGCTGTAGCTGTGTGGAAAAGCTTTCCTGTCAGAAGCACAGGTCCACTTGGACAGCACAATATGACGCATAGGTGTGCCATTTCACATCCTCCACAGAGTGGTGGAAACAATCAGTAGCTAGTAAATTGAAGTGGCGGTCTACCCAAATTGTGCAATAGCATTACACTGCTCAGCTGACAGCACAGTAAGGACTTTGACCCTACGTCCCTTACTGTTTCAGTGCAAGGCAACATAGCATAATAGTGCGATGATATGACTAACCCCACACCTCCCAGTGGCTTCCTGAACAAAGCATGGAGGTATCTGGAAGTTGGCTTTGTAACCTATAGAAAGAAAGAAAAGGAAAGGGGAAATCCTAAATGAAGTGTTGCCTGTGACTCACTATCTTTGTAACGCCAATCTTTTTTTTTTAATTTAATTTTATTCAGTTCAGAACAAAGGGTAGGAGGAGAGGCATAGGAAAAAGCATAAAGATGATGCACAGAGCCCACAGTCAAACTTGCCCTGTTCCTACTGCAGCGCTGTGATTATTGGATGTTTTCTTCCTTGGTTGGCGACATGCTTAGAGGAGCATCAAAACGAGAGTAATCAACCAATCACTTTGCTTATCACATGTTACACATGCATAATCAGGACAGCACCATTCAGCGGTAAGCCAGACAGTAGGCGGGCCAGGGATCTGCAATGGGGGCACCAAGTTTCATGCCAGTACAGCTTCCTGCAAACCCAATGGATAGCATTTTAGCTCACCAGAGGGGAAAGGCCCATAACAGTGACCAACAACTCCATCCCTCATGAATTTGATTAATCCTCTCTTAAAACCATCTAAATTGGTAACATAAAGAAATCTGACGCTGGCAAACTCCATCATTTAACTATGTGTTGTGTTAAAAAGTACTTCGTTTTACCAGTTTTTAATCTCCCCTCAGTTAGTTTTACCAGGCAACCTGAATTCTAGTGTTCGAGAAAAGGAGGAAGAATCTCTCTCTCTTCAATATGCAAGATTTTACAAACTGCTGTCATATCTCCTCTTATCTTCCTTCACCAAAATCCCACCACTTTGATTCTACGGCAAACCGATGCTTAAGAGGAATCCACATCCAGGACAAGATTGAACTAACGTTCTCCCACTCCCGTTTCTCTCACACATAATTTCGTTTTGGAGCATATATTTGTCTACCACAACTGCCCAGATGCCAAGACATGTCCTTCATCTCATCTAATGCCCCCTCCCAACATATTGGCCTGATTTACTTTCCCAAATTCTTAGCCAGCATATAGATCAAACTGAAACTGAGAGTTCAGCCAGGTATTTATTTACAACAAGTTTTCTTTGACATTTTGATTGGTCCCAGTGAAGTGTATGTCTAACTCCCTCGATTCTTCCTTGTGATTCAATACAGCTACCTCAGATTTTGTCTGCTCTGGGATATCTATAAACTTGTTTCATTTTTTGAATGGCTGTTAGCCAGATTTTATATACAGTAATTTTAAATTTTATTAATTACAGTTTGCTGTTTTATTGCACACGGGATAAATGCACATTGTTATAACCTATGGGTTGCAACCATAAATTATAACTGATTGATATAAACTAGGTAGGTTTTGAAGCCGACACGCGCGCGCTCTTTCCTCTTCCCCTCCCCCGTTAAGATTTGTTTATTCACCGCATCGGCCAAAAGGTGGCGCTGATGACGTTTTTATCTGTCAATCGTTAGATAATAGGCTTTTAAGCGAGTGCAATATTCCTCCTCCTTTTTTTTCCTCTCTCTTCTTTTTTCTTCGCTCCATCGCCCCATATTGGACAATAAACAAGAGAAGAAAAAAGAAAGAGAGAGAAAGAAAAAAAGAAAGAAAGAGAAAGAGAAAAAAGTGCTCCCGTACTTTAGATGCTAACTCCGTCCTCCCCCCCGCCCCGAAAACGAAGCCGGAAAAAGAAACAAATAGCAGCCCCCCTTCAGCATGGTCACAGAAAAGCAGGTCGCGGGGCGGGGAGGGGGGGAGAAAGGCAGCAATAAAACCGATTAAAGCCCCCCACCCCAGTGCGCTCCGGCTGCCCCCGAACCTAAGACCTCAGAGCCATAATTGCTGCGCTCTCGGCTGCAAGCAGCCAGGGCGACGTTGTGTGCGTGTGTGCGCGCGTGAGCGTCGGGTGTCGGTGAGTGTGTCGGTGTGCCTGGGGACCAGCCACCGCGTCTGCCCGAGCTCAGCGCCAGCGATGCCGCCAAGCTCTCCTTTGCAAATAACAATGTGGCATTTTCGTCCGGGGGGGAGGCGTCCGAGCCTTCTGCCTTCTTCCCCGTCATAGCGGATTGTGTGGGGGCATATCTTTTACATATCAAGGCGGGTCGGGGGAGGAGAGAAGGCCCGAGATCAAGAAGAGGAAGAAAAGGACGAGGAGTAAATGCGTGCTTGGAAACAGCCGTGCCAGCAGTAACACAACAAGGGGTGGGGGTGGGAAATCAGCAAAAAAGAAACTTATGGAAGAATGAAGGAGATGGTGGGCGGCTGCTGCGTCTGTTCCGATGAACGCGGCTGGGCAGAAAACCCCCTGGTCTACTGTGATGGGCATGGCTGTAACGTGGCGGTGCATCAAGGTAAGACCCCCCACCTAGCCTTTCCTGCTCGCGGATACCTTGGCCAACCCGCCCCCCCTTCCCCGCCAAGCCCCGGCTCGCCTTCGAACTCTCCGGGCGCCTGCCAGAAGTGGCTTGGCAGACCTGGAAAAAGACCGTGAGGGTTAACCGGGACCACCCCCTCCCGCACTGATTGCCACCCTAAAACCTTCGCAAGCTTTGAGTGAAATAAAAGAGCGGCGGGATTGGTTTTCGACATGGAGGAAGAAGAGTTGGAGGCGGGCTAAAACGTACATCATCATCGCCACCACCACCATCATCATCACTGTTATTGTTGTTACTATGCATTGAAGGAATTCTAGCGCCTTTTGTTCCGCGGGGGTACACTTGACAGGGGAGAGGGAGGCGGACGCAGTGCTTTGCAAAAAAGAAGAAGGGGGAAAGGATTTGTGGGAAAGGGTTGTACGTGTGGCTGTCTGTGTATGTTGGCTAGGAAAAGCACGATCTTAGCTTTCCCTTCTCCGCTGGAGTATGTGCGTGTCTGTGTGCACATGCACGTAGTCGTTGCTTTGCTTTGTTTTGCTTTCTATTCATTAATTTTTAATTGCACCACCGTATAAAGGGGTGGAGGTGGGGATACATCTGAATGCCAGCAGACTCAGAAAGGGTAGAGGGGACGGGAAGGCTGGGTTGTTGTGGACGTTGTTGTTGTGGATGTTGTAAAAAATACATTATTTGACGTAGATTCAGAATGGCAGTGACCTCTGACTGTCTCCCTCAGCTTCCTTCCGGATTAGCTGAGCTTCTATTATTAGCTGCCCTGTAACATTGGGGATTTTTTATTATTTATTTTAATGTTATGGTGGGGGAGGGGAGACTTTCTGGCCTGCAATTTCAAGGTAAGTGAAGCCAAGCAGAATGTCTCAAGGACCGATGTGGGAATATACTTCTTTGCAAAACTGCCCCGTGTAAAGAAAGCTGAAATGTGTGTGTGTGTGTGTGTGAGAGAGAGAAATAGGAACGCTCTCTTATTACCACTTTCTAGTTACTTGTAGTAGATCATTAATCCTGGAAGTACAAGGCTGAGGGGGAAATACCTCAGTTACACCCTGCCTCAGGTATCTAGGCTTATTGCTGTAGCCTCACCTCTGAGCTGAGCTGCTGAAAGGAGAATGAGCATTAATTGCTGTGGTGAATAGTCATCTTGAAAGGAGAAGTCTTCACCTGGTCATGTACTTGACTTCGGTATGTGGCAAGCCAGCTGTTCCGGGACATTCAGCCTTTGGTTTCCATAGCAGAATAACTCGGGCTTTCCTGGTCCTTAATCTCCAAAGCTTCATCTGTGATAGCTGAAATTTGACTTCTGTGGATATTCTCCGTGCCCACAGATGGTGTCTTCACATGGCAGAAAGTATTTGTTTAGACAGACTTTTGAGGTTTGATGGAAGTTGGGGAAGGTGCCCAAACAGAAGTCACCTCTCTTTTCTCTCCTATAAGTCATTTAATGTAGTAAATTTGTATAATTGGGTTTTGTAGCTGACAGCTTTGGATGATAAAAAAAAAAAAAAAAAAGGGCAGGGGGGAATAGCTAGCTGGGTATCACAGCAGATGGCAGTATCTAATCAGCTTTGGCTGATCTTGAAAAAACTAAATCTTTGCTGGATTGGTATGAACCTAGATGGGAGACCACCAGGATATCTCAGGTTTGAAGGCTAGATGGGAAAATTGGGGGGAAAAAATCCCAGAATCACATAGTGGAAAATATGTTCATACAGTATTTACATGTGTATGTAATTACCAAGAGTTAAGCTTGACTTGAGTGGGGATGCTACAGTTATCTAACGTGATCAGTGGTCTGCAGAATATCAGTGGCCAGTGGAGGTTCACCAAGTGGTCCACCACAACCTCATCGCACTTACCCCTGAAGTATTCAGAGCCTGCTAAGCACCTCAGCCTCTGCTGCTCTGCATTCTGCCCATCAGCTGATTTGCCAAAATGGATCAGTGGCCAAAAGCTTGTTCATAGAACTGTATAAGTGATAATACAAGGGGTAGCGCGAGTACTACAATTCAGAAAACTGACAATAGTGAACAGGACTTGAGTATAGTTACTGACTAAAGTCTCATGCAACCCACCTAACCAAAAAAGTATGAATTGGAAACCCAATAGTTAATATCTAAACATGGGATTTTATTAAATATCTATTCATTCTTAGCCCTCTAATACTCAAGAGATTTATATTGAAGAACGTTGTTGATCAGTAAGCTTGTGCAAAGAGTTGCTACTATGGCATGGGGTACTTAATATTTAATTTTGAATTAATGTTTGGTATAACATTTAATTTAAAAATCCTTTTAAAATGCAGGGGATGGAATACACAAAAGCAACTGTAATCACTACCTTACTTGCCAAAAAATTTGAACTCCCATGCTTTTAAAGACAAAAATGTAGGGGTGTGTGTTTGTTTAATTTGGCGTTTCCCACATTTTCCAAATATTTATGTAGTAGTTCTCAACTGCAGAAAGTTTCAGATACACTGATCTAGATATACAATGAATCACACTTTATTCATATTACATATTTCATAATATAAACTTACATATATTAGGTTACAACTGATCATTTTCCCATGTAGTTTCCACAATTAAATTGGAAATTAATCTTTGTTTGAAATTAAGTCTATTTTGGTAGCTTTGATGCTATCTCCTGAATATCTAGCACATAAAAATAATTAGGCATATAAGCAAATGAGGGAGAACATCTCGCAAAAAAGAAAACATATGTCAGGTGCAGCAGCATCTGTAGGGAAGGTAAAAAAGGCAAGTTGGTAGTTGCAACAGCATGATGGAAGCCCTGCTCCTTTTTGTATGTACATCAACAAAAATGCACGTAAAAAAAGGAATGGGATGTCAATCACGCTGCCATGACCACCAACTTGGCTTTTTGCCAACCCCCACCCCAATGCTGCTGGTTAACTGACTATTTACCTGTAGTAGGGAGAGCTGCTGCAGCTAGATGTAAAGTTAAGCTATAAATACATCCACAGTGATTAAGAGTTTGTAAAAAAAAAATGTTGACTAACCCCTAACTGAGTAGCATCTCAGATTTCCCCTTTGGCCATAGAACTATGAAATATTGGCAATGGCTGTTTAAAAGCCTAGGATTTTATTTTTTTTTTTACTTGTTCCAAAGAGACTTACTAGGACAGGAAAAAGCATTTTGTTCCTCCTCCACCATATTTATTTATTCAACTTGTATCTCAACTAGCCCATTTCAACAAATGACTCTGGGTGGCAAGGTGCATTACTGTGCTAGTTTTGCAGGAAAAGTTTACTTTTGTCTCTGGATGTACAAAAACCAATTTGGTTAGCACAGGAATGATGCTTCTGGTAGGCCTCTGATTTGCTGTTCTGGAATTCCTTGTCTTCTCTTGCATGGAATGCTTAACTAGTACCTTGTTAAATTTATGATGGGCTTGAACACTTCCTTTGCATACAACTTTTCAGATTCAGACTTTTGCATATTCTGGTTCATCCACTCAGTGTAAAGCAGGGTGCACATCTTTTTCTGAACTGGGGTTGCCTTTACTCTTTGAAAAGTAGGCAGGGGGCCATATCTATAAGATGATATCAGATCAAAAGTTGAAATTGATTTGATTTCATGTGTATTAAAAAAAATACTGAATATCAATACTCTCTGGTCGTATACTTTATAGACTTCCTCTTCTGTCTTTCTTCAAATTATAATTTGAAAATCACCTGTTGAGGTCTCTGTGGGTTCTACCTGGGACATTGAGGGGCCACATGCAGCCTGGGGTCCTCACATTGTGTAATTCTGCTCCATTGATGGAGTAGATGATGCAATGGTCAGCATCCATATAATACAGCTTCTTTTTTAGAATTTGGTTGGCCAGAGGAGCAAAGCAATTGAGCTCAGGTTTTTAAGGTCTACATCCATGCCAATTATCACAGCTGTATTATTTGTGCAATTCAAAACCAAAACAGTAAAATGTGCAAATACAAAATAAATGTAACTTCATGATTATACAAAAATGTACAGTGAATACATTTTTAATAATGAGTTCCTTTCTTTCCCGATAGCTGCCAATTTTGTTGTGATTCCCTTGTCAGTTTACTAAGTACTTTGCTTGTGAGATAGACAAATGTGTTGATAACAACATCCCGATCCAACTGTGAAGGGGTGGGGGAAAGGGCGCTTGGGCATTACAGTTCCAAATGCAGTTCGGTGGGAGCAACTCAAAGGGAAGTACAGCAAGCCAAAAAGTCATAACTTTATGGTGGGGATCTATACTTTACCAGGAAAAGAATCTTAAGATAGTTAATGAAAAAGCTAACTCAGTAACTGCTGTGAAAAAAAGTGAAAACCATGTTGGTGACCGTTAGAAAAGGAATTGAACACAGAACTTCCAGTATTGCAATACCTTTATCTGCATGCATGGTGCAATCACACTTAGAATACTAGGCACACTTTTGTTACCAGCCCTCCAAAACAATAGTATTGAGCAGAAAATCATGCCAAAAGAGCCATCAGAGTCATTAAGGGGGTGGGGCAAAGCCCCTGAACTTTCATGCACCAGAGACCAAATCATTAGGTCTGTGAATGTTGCAGGTAAGGCTGTGCAAAGAGAAAAGGGGGGGGGGGAATCAGTGAATCCGAAGGAAGTGATATGCAAAAAAATTACAGATAGGACAGCTACCTTAAAGTTTAAATGTAGGTATAAAGTAATCATAGTTACCTTACCTGCACTAGTGTTGATAAACAAAAATATCCTTGTATTAGTAAGCCAATAAAGCTGTGTAAAAAGACCCAGTCTCCTTTGAATTGTGTTTAACTGGTGACTTCATGGCTATATATTGATTTAGGATACAGGAGAGAGAAGTTTGCAGCCAAACTATGTAACTTTTAATGGAATTGAAACGGATCCTCCCTCCCTCCCTCCCTGGTGCGGCACATTTAACCCAACTTCTTCCCGTGTGCTGGTTCATTTAGAAATAATTCTA